CATTTGCAGAAACCTTCTACAGAATAGCGTATAATAGAATGGCATCTTTAATGACACAGGAGGGTGGGTTTAAATGGTTTTAGATGAGCTTTTCTATATAACGCATAACAGAGACATTACAGTAATTACATTGTAATTGCAGGACCTAAATGCACAATATACAATACATATATGGGACAGGACCAAAAAAAAAAGAATTTTATACAAACACGCACACCAGACAACAGATTCTATGTGCAAAATATAGACTGGACAAGGTGAATCTCCAAAAGAAAGAAAGAAAGTAGGTAAGTAACTAAATAGGTAAGTACATTTCACCACAGAAGAAGAAGAAGAAGAAGAAAAAACTTTTAGACGCCTTCCTTTTTTTTTTTTGCATTGTGACAATTATAAAAGGTTGTTTTCGCCATGCGATAAAAAAATAAAATAAATAAAAAACCTAATTGAGACTTTTTGGGCCGTATCATACACCAGGCGCGACGCAAGTGTTTTTTGCTAGTTTTGGCCTGACACAGATATCATTTTCACGTCCTGTGCCATGTTGTTTAAATAGCAAATGCATTTGTGCCTATCTGTTCACCCATGGGCGTGCTGGTCTGAAAACGAGGTGTGTTCAGGCGCATTGTTGGCACGTTGCTATTTTGAGGCAACTCCCCCCTCGGTCCATTCGCGCTCGCGTTCCGACCGCACCAGTTACACCCCTAAGGGTGTTAATTAACAAGCGCGTTAGTAATATGCGCCTATAGGCGAGTGCACAAAGTGCATACACTCTGTTTATTACACACACAGAGAATAGGGACATTAAGTGAATAGGTACAATCCTTTTCGACCATTTTTTCCATCGTTAAACTAGCAAAAGTGGATTCGGACACGGCCTAAGTCCACTTGCACTGTGCGCTTTAGACCATGCGCTTAGATCGTTAAAGGGGTCATATGATGCTTTTTTAAAGATCATTATTTTGTGTATTTGGTGTAACAGAATATGTTGACATGCTTTAATGTTCAAAAAACACATTATTTTTCAAATACTGTACATTATTGTAAGTCCTCTATGCCCCGCTTAACTTTGATAAAGTTAAAATATCTCTTTGGTTTTGAGACTTTAGTCTTTGCAACTTCAGGGATCTTATCTATGCACAATCAGCTTGGAACACTCCAAAGAGAAAGGAAAACTTGAAATCGCATCATATGACCCCTTTAAAATATGGCCTTTTGTCTCTCAATTCAGACTTTTTTTTTTTCTCTGAAAATTTTTTTTTTTTGAATTGTCAAATTAAACTTAGAAATGTGAGAGATAAATGCAGAGTTGTGAGATATAAAAGTGCAATTCTGAGAAGAAAAGTCAGAATTGAGATATAAACTCACAATCGCAAGAAATAAGTCCGAATTGTGAATTACCTCATGGCAGGTAATTGAAAAAAAAGAAGAAAAAAACAAAAAAACGGAATTGCAAGATGTAAACTAAGAATTCAGAGAAATAAAACTAATAACTGAATACGAATAGTGAGAATAAACTGAATGAACAGAATTGTGAGAAAGTCAGAATTCTGAGTTTATATCTCACAATTCTGACTTTTTTCTCAGAATTTTCTCCAAATAGCTATTAGATTCTGATAACTAATCTCTCTGTGTGTATAGAAGCACAGAAAAGCTAACACGGAAAAACCTGGAACGCATATACTGTATATTCCTCTTCCATTACTAGTTCATTAAAAAATCACTATTAAAAGTCTGATGAAAATAATCATTCTAATAATGATGTCTATAGAAGCCTGTCCCTGCTTTTTTACTATATATATATATATATATATGTATATGTGTGTGTGTGTGTGTATTGATTGGGGGCTTATTGCAGGCCGACAGCAGTTGGTAAGATGTTTTTTAAGTGTGTTTTGGAAGTCATTAATGTGTGTGGATGTTTTTTTCGCCTAACAATGTTACAGGTTTTTTCTTGTCGGCTTGTCTGTGCTTCTATACCACACACACAGACATTACCTGCTAGAATGTAATGGCTTTGCAGAATCGAACAAGGAGGTGTTGACTGATTCCACACTTCCTTGATTTGTCTGAAGAAGATCATGTCTGATGCGTCTTCCTGATGAGATGGTTTGTGTTGATGTGCCATTTTAGGTATAGTTGCCTAAGAATTGTAAGTAGTCTTATGGCAATTTATTGGCTGTTGGTGGAGGCAGGGAGCTTGAGGTCTGTAAGTGCCTGAAGAATGAAGTGACCTCAAAAAGGTCATTCATAGCTTATTGTTAGCACATCAGATGATTGCTTTATCCATTTCTAGCTGGTATTGTATTTTATTTTCAGGAACTGTGCTGTAGAGTTGTATATGACTGAAATCTTATATCACAGCATGAGTAATTTTATATCACAGTATCAATTTATGCAATATGGTTCAAAGGTTTGTGGTCAATACTTAAAAAAAAAAATATCACCAAGCTCACCAAGACTGAATTTATTTGATCAAAAATACAGTAAAAACAGTAATATTGTGAAAGATTATTGCAATAAAATTTTTTTTAAATATATTTTACATTTTATTTTTTTCTGTGATGGCTAAGCTTTATTTTCAGCAGTCATTACTCCAGTCTTCAGTGTGACATGATCCTTCAGAAATCATTCTAATATGCTGTTTTGCTGGGCACGAAACATTACTTATTATTATCATTGTGGAAAACAGTTGTGCTGTTTAATATTTCTGTGGAAAGTTTTAAATAAAAGTATTAAAGTGCCCCTATTATGCCTTTTTGAATATTACCTTTCATGCAGTATGTCATGTAGCTGTATGTGAACATAAACTATCTGCAAAGTTGTGAAGCCGACAGTGCACGATAAATAAAGTTATTGTCTATCAAAAACAAGAGTCGGCTTGCAATCACCTAAACGAGTCATCAGGAATTCGAATCTTACTCTGTTACGGCTCTACGTCACGAAGTAACACATTTGCATAATGTCTGTCCACGTTCTTCGTGGCACACTTGCCCGCCCACAAACAGTAAAATATCCGTGTAGTTAACATCATGTCGAGAAGACGCTTTATCCTAAGCTGTGAGAGTAAATTTGTTTTATCACATCTTATAATTACCACAAACTTGTTAACAGTTGACACTTACCACTGAGAAACGTCCTGCTCCAGTCGTGCTTGCGAACCAGTCTCTTGTCAATCAGCCAGTTCTACCGTTTCATCATCAGACTCCGGCTTGAATTGGTAAGGTACAAACGATGCCATCTTTTCTATGCATTGACAAGTCTCCAGGGCTGTCATTCCGTCATGGCAATGGGCGTTTCGTTTCCGACATGTGCTGTACGCGGTAGACCAATCCAGAGCCAATCTCTCTACGGCTTTGGACCAATCACAAAGGACTGCGCCATCTGACCAATCACAGCAGTGAGGGCTCACGGAAAGGAGGGGTTTAGAGAGACTGATTCTTTGAACTGCTTCGCACGAGTCGTTTACGAATAATTTAAAAATGAGGTAAAATTAAATCTATTTTTTGAGAAAACTAACGTGTTTTTTGACCTTCCATGCATGTAAACCTGTTTTAGAAGACTCATAAAACAATATTAGCAACCTTAAAAGACTGCACCATCTGACCAATCACAGCAGTGAGGGCTCACGGAAAGGAGGGGTTTAGAGAGACTGATTCTTTGAACTGCTTCGCACGAGTTGTTTATGAATCATTTAGAAATTAGGTAAAATTAAATCTATTTTTGGAGAAAAGTAATGTGTTTTTTGATCTTGCATGCATGTAAACCTGTTTTAGGAGACTCATAAAACAATATTAGTAACCTTAAAAATGGCATAATAGGGGCACTTTAATTTCTTCAAAAAAGAAAGAAAGAAAGAAAGAAAGAAAGAAAGAAAAAGAAACATACTGACTCCAAACTTTTGAACAGTAGTGTGTATATATGTACAAACTTGTTGTTTTTGATTTAAATAGAAGAAAATGTGGATTGTACATTAAATAATGGTAATGTCTATTTTTCAGCAACCTCAGTTAAATACAATTAAATTACAAATGAAGTGTATTTTATCTAATTAGATTATTATATCATTACTTTGCAGATGCAAACCAAAATATTTATTATAAACTATTGCGTTTAGCATCAGTGCAAAAAATGACTTTTTCATATTATAAAACACCTGAGCTGAAAACCAAAAACCATCTCAAATATGTACCATGGTATAAATAGTTTTGGCTGTAAATAGTAAAATTGGCTCACACATTTTGACTATCAGATGGTATATATTGTTATACTATCACTCAGCCAGTGCTATTGTGCTTTGATGTGAAGCTATCGTATTTGTGAACAAGAAAAAGTGAAGTAGGGGGAGTACAGTGCCTTGTGGCACACCTTTCTTGAAGGCCAGAAGGTGGGAGGTAAACTTCAACTCCATTGTAGAAATGCGGGCAGTCGGCAGCACTTGGCTGGCTCAGTGCCCATATTTCTGTTTAAGAAGGTGGATGATATTGAAAACAGAAGTGAAGTCAAAGAACAGGACGCATAACTACATATTTAGTGTCTCTGGATGATTTAATGTGCAGTGTGTCGACGATGCCAGGTTAATGGCAACCTCCATCAATATACAAGAGTGGGCGGCTGTTTTCAAATGCAAACTCAACTTTAAGATTTCAAAGACGATCCTGAGTTCTTCTGCCAGGGGTTGTTCAATAGGAGGCATTTATAATAGTATAAAATATTAACTTATTTAATAATTCAGATGAGGCTTTTGAATGCCAAATAAATTGGTTAACAGCCATTCAGATTTCTCTTGGTTTGTTTTCTTGTGTATTGGGATACACTTGTTTTGTATTTTGCCCATAGCATCTTTATGATATGATATATTTACTATGGCTGATGCTCAGAGACATTACGTATATTCATGTTTTTGAAGGATTTTCAGCTGTGGAACTTGCTTTAATGTGTTAGATACAGCATCTATTCTGTCCATGGTTGCTCAGAAGTTTTCCTTTGCTTTGTTTTTGAAGGTATGGGCTGTTTAAGAAGCAGCTCACACTCCTTGAGGAGGCCGAAGGAGGCTTTGATCAGTTCACACGCAGCTATAAGAGTTACGGAGTACAGCGGATGCCAGACAACAGCCTCGTTCACTCACTCACTCACTCACTCACTCACTCAAAAGTCTGACTTCTCACCAAGAAAGTGCATGAATGCAGGATTTGAAGGCATTTGCTTGTCTTTTCTAGTCATTAGGAAGTGCAAGTTTTTTTTCTTAAAGAAGTAATGAGCCAGACTTTACAGACTCCAGGGCAAATTCTGTAGTCTTTGATCACATGGCAGAACTTGCATTGCTTTTGAATAAACAAATGGTTGTTAGTAATTTTATCAGAGTGAATGCAAATTAGGCAACAGATAGATAAGCATCACTATTACTCTTTCTCAGGATTTGAACAAACTCCTAACACTAATTATTAAAATTCGGCATACAGTGTGCGAAAGACATGCAGATTGTTGAAGAGTGTTACATTTTCCTGTTGAATCTGCAGTAAAAAACTGGCAGCTGTGGTCAAAAATTCACCAACATACTGGTACCTGTATATTTTACTTAGACAATGATATAATGTTAATATATCAAACTTGAATTACCAAATTGGCATACAATGTTGAAATCCAGCAACTAATAATACAGGTTGTAAAATAGAAACACAAAGACAAAACACATCCAGGATAACACACATGATACTACAGTAATCCACAAATAAATGTAACACAAAGCACCCAATGTACATTACAGAAAACAAAAATACTAAATATAATGAGATATAACAAAATAAATACTGTTATCTGTCCTTTTACTCTTTTTCATCATAAATTATATGGTAATTTATGGTTTTTATTCACAGAAATTAGTTTTACTGTGAAAATAATTATAATGCTCTGTTAATTAAACCATTTACAGGTTTTCACCTTATATGCTAAGGTATCTTATACACTTAAGTTTTTAGGTTTATTTATTTTTTATATTTATTTGCTGTCTATTACGATGTTATTTTTTATTCCTCTGGTGCAACTTGTGTGGTGAAATGAAATGTACTATATTTTAGTTGGATTTTAAGGTACTACATTATATTTATGCAGAAGTTAATATCCATTTATTGCCTGTGAACCACTTTTTGAGCATAGACCTGAAAATGACATTTCCAACTTCTATTAACTTTATTTTCACCTCAATAATCTGCCAAGTGTCTTTTTTAAAAAAAGAGACCAAATGTCTGTTTGTTATGAAAATGCACGAACATACTATTTTCAAATTATTTTAATGAAAAACAATTTAATGAAAAAACATTTGAAGTTGTGTTCCAAATTTGAAGTTGATATAAAAAAAAATAGCTTTCAGTAAGGTTTTGTTTGGGGACCATTTCAATCATATCCATGTTTGTGTGTGTGTGTGTGTGTGTGTGTGTGTTGTGCTCACATAGCAGTTCAGTTCACCTTTCAATTAAGTATAAAAAAAATTTGGTGCCAAGCTTTCTTTATTAGATATGTCTACACAATAAAACCTCTCAACCCTTTCTTAATCGCCACCACTTTAGAAATGCTGTTAAATGATGCGATTCACTGAGGTCAGAATGTATAGAATATGCTAGAATAAAATTTTATGGTTATGAACAACTAACCATTCAGCTAGTCCATTTTTAAAGCATGTAGTTTTGCACATCCCTACTTCCCTTTCCCTAGCAACCACTCAGAACACCCTAGCAACATTGCAACAACACACTAAAAAGCACTCATAGCATCTTACCAAACACATCGCACCGTCCTTGCAAGTTTTGCGCAGACAAGAACCACTCACTTTTTCTTCAGAAAATGTCAATAATATTAAGCAGTTCCTTTCTTTTAATAGATGACTGGGATAACTTTTCACATCCCTACACTAAAAAGGAGTTTGGGAAATGGGAGCTGCACATACCCCCAAAAGAGGACAAGACACCTGCTGTCGCTCATAACTCCAAGCTGAAGGTGAGCAGACGCATTAGCTGGTTTGTTTACTACTTTAGCCTGAATGAGGCACTGAGGTATTATGAAGCCTTTATGTGCTGTCAAGATGGCTTTAATATTCAGCCGTTTATGGATGGCGTGTCAGTGTTAAAGATACAGCAACAGCTGTGACTTTCAAGCCATTTGGTGCATGTTTTTAATAACGCAGCTCCACTTTGGAGTTTCACACCCATGAGGTTTAAAACACAGAGCTTTCATTTTAAACAAATTGAAGCGCGGTCCTGCGGGATCAGTTGGACTCTTCACTCAGTTCGAGATTGTACATTCAATTAAAGTCAACAAGCCGAATGGACTTTATTTACTTTAACACACATTCTTGATATTATTGTGAACGATTCATCCGTGCATGTTAAAAGTAATCTTGCATCAAAATGCAATAGCTTGCTCTGTTAATTTCCATCACCTATAGGCCACACTGGCACAGGGTCAATTACATACAAAACTGTCCAAAATAAAGAAAGCAGATACAACGTTTAATTATAACAATGTATTAGTAAATGTTAAAATTACTGTAATATTAAGATGAATTAATACTTTCGATTTATTTTTCATTGTTAGCTCGTGATAAAGGGATAGTTCGTCAAAGAATGAATGTTGTCGTTCAAAATTGTAAGACTGGGGTTAATGTTGAAACACAGAAATGTGTAATGAGTTACTGTCCCTCCATCGAAATCTGTGCATCATATTGCATGCATTAAACCAATTAATGTTGATTCATTTTGTGATGCCTTTATAGCCATTTTGGAAAGTCTTTCGAAGACATTTTTAACATTTTTAAGCCTGTTAAATTAGCGAAAATAAACTGTAATTGAATTTGCAATTTTGTAATTGCATTTTTAGCTGAACTATGCCTTTAACTAATGTAGCTAATTAATTTTGCCAAATGGAACCCTTAAGAACCTTAATCTTAAAGGGAAAGTTCACCAAAAAACGAAAATTGCCATTATACTCTCCCTCCACTTCCAAACCTGTGTGAACCAGTATGCAAATAAGATATTTTGAAGAATGTGGGTAACCAAACAGTTGACGGTAGCCGTTTGGTTATCAAAAAATCTTTAAAAATCTGGTTTAAAATGTACTCTTTATTTAGTTTTCATATGATTTTGAAAAACTTGTATACCGTTTTTAAGAATAGTTTTTTAATTTAATGACTGTAAAAATGTCATATGGTGTAACCATCAAGAAAAATAAACATATTTTCCTTAAACCTTTGAATATACTTGAGTGTACATCATAATACTTTTCAAAAATTATTTTTAATATAATTTTCAAGGTTACTTTGATTTATTTTATTTATCTAATTTTTCTTTTTTTGGAAATATCATGAATGATTAATTCAAATATATCATTAAGTTGCACCACGTGACATTTTACAGCCTAAACTAGTTTTTCCTTATAAAAATGTCAAATTATCTGACTAATTCTTTTCAAGAATTTCATTTGTTTAATTGACCTATCAGTAAGCCCCTCCCATCGAACGCAGATGAGCCAATGGCAGTTGAGTATCAGTTGCACGGGGACCGGAACTCGGACATCTTTAGGTTTCAGCGCCATAGAGAAACATTGGAAGATCCGAAGCTCTCATCGGTTTGATGGTGTTTATGCTTTACAAAAATGGCAAAACGATCACGATCTGTCACTGTAAGAGAGTTCATAAGTTCAAATTTGTTTTTCCGAATGAGCAACAGTAACTAAGGGGGCATTGCCGACAGGTCAATTAGGCTTTTTTTTTTTTCTTATGATGTAAGAGCAAGTTATCTTCACCTTGACAGTTTTTACTTTATCTCTGCAAATGAATTTTAAATTTGAATGTCTGATTTAAAAAAAAAAAATTTTTATTAAATGAATTGACCAAAAAATAGCATCATATCATTGACCCAGTTGCTGGCCGTGAGGCTGAGATTAATTTCTAATCTATCTGCTTACAAAGCCGGTACTGTATCTCTGTGTTTAGTGTCCAGTCTCTTCCACTCTTGCTGTCCATTATGTGGTGTGACACGCTGGCAGAGGCTTGATTGATGGCAGGTAGATGCCACTCACTGGGCACAGGCTGCTTTTCTGGTTGCTTTGTTCCTGCTGTCTTCCTGGGTCAGGCTCTGGACGATAAGAACCAGATGCAGACTCTGGCTGACTGGACTCGGATGAGTTGAGTGTCAACTGGATTATGTTCCTGGTGAAAAGTGGTCCGGCCAGACTTTAATTATGCAAGAAGTGGACTGTCCTATTCTTTCTGCTTCATGCCGCCGACTCATATCATTATGGAGAGACTTTGTTTTGTTACAAAGGGTGATTTATGTGCCTGTTGACTAAATTCAAGACATTTGTGGTAATATAAGACAATACCCATAATATATAATTTTACATGTTAGCAAATCTAACAATAGCCAGTCATTAAATGGGGGTGAAAATTTCAATTAAAAACATACAAATAAACAAATAAAATAAAATAAAATAAAATACAATAAAATAAAACTTTTGCACCAGGTGGCTGGTAGGAAATACAACATAATACATATTTTATATTCGTAAGAATGCAAAGAATTGTAAGAGACGTTATAAAAAATCAAAAACATACAAACTCCCCACATAACAAAAAAAATCACAACTTTCACTGCATAAAAGACAAAACATCATCAGAAGTTTATTTAGAATGCAATGTAGTGACACAAATGTGGAATATTTCTTGCATAAAACCACAAATATGAAAATATTAGTGCAAAAGTCTGGATGTTTATTAATGTTTTTGAGAGGGGGGGAAAAGTTTACCTGCCATTAGTTTTGAAAATGTAATCAGAGAAGATAATTTCCATAATTTTCCATGTTTAGTGGAAAGTTTTATCATCTTTTTTTTTCTTTTTCTTTCTTTGTGTGTGTGTGTGTGTGTGTGTGTATGTATATATATATGAGAGAGAGAGAGAGAACCATATGTCTGTTCCATCACCCAGTTGGAACATAAAAATGTTTTATAGTTATTTATTTATTTGGAAATTAAAAGAAGCAGGAGGTACCCAATGTAAATGGTTGCAAGGCTGCATTTATTCGATCAAAATGTTTAAAAATATAATCTTTAATTAGTTAAAATATTATGAAATATTATTAGATTTTATAATAACTGTTTTGTTTTTAATGTTTTTTTTTACAATTCAATTTATTCCTTCAGAAATCATTCCAATGCTGATTTGGTGCTCAAGAAACATTTCTTATTATTATCTATGTTAAAAAACAGTCTTAATAATAGTGCTTAATATTTTTGTTAAAACTGTGATGCATTATTTTCTTAGGATTATTTAATGAAAAGAAAATTAAATAAAAGAACTGTAACAATATAGATGTGTTCTTTACGGTCACTTTTGATCAATTTAATGCATCCTCGCATTAAAAGCCAAACAGTTTCTTGGGGAGGTAAGAAATATTCATTGCCAGTAAATGTTTTCAATAAACCTGCGACTGGACCCTAAAATGACAGTACAGCAAAGTGACAGACATTAAATGCCACCTCCACCTCCACCTCACCGTGCTTTCATTGACACCGTGTGTCTGCTATTTTCTGCTGTTTTCTCTCCATCAGTCGGTCAGGCTCAGCATCTGTTCATTCTCGCACTCTTTTCTGGGTGATTATATAAACTGGCAAACCCGTGGTGTGGCGGTTTGGTGCTCCCGCATGTCCTCGGGTGAGAAGCCGCTAATGATTGAGCCCCACTGGGACGCTGCTCTGTAGGTCACCAGCAGGTGCCGATGGCTCTGTCATTACCTCTCGCTGGCAGCTTATGGAGGGGACCATCAAATGATCCATTTGCTTTTTGGCCCAGGAAAGAGAGAGATAGGGAGACTGAGGATGGAGGGCTCCCGTGGGTGCATTCACATGGTGAGAGACGCTCCGTTATCGATCCGCTCTCCTGTACTGACAGTCGTGTGACTGCGTGCGGCAGCGGGGAGGAAGAGAAGAGTGACTTTGAGTGAGTTAGACTGTAGTCGAGCACACACACCGCTCTCTTCTCACTCTTGTTTGGAAAGCGGGCTGGAAACCGAGTGCCTTAAGCTAGTTTTCTTAGAGTGTGGTTGTTAGGTTAAAGCAAACTTTAGATTATATGAATTATCATACCATTTAGTATGTTTTTTTTAAGCCACAGGAAGTGTCCTCATAAACCATGTTCACGTTGTGATACCGATATCGTTATACACATTTATGTCCTAATAAACCATATACACACACACACACACACACACACACACTGAAGTGACACATTTATTTGTGTGTGCGTATATATATATATATATATATATACATACATACATACATATGTTAATATATAATGCTCATCAAGGCTGCATTTATTTGATCTAAAATACAGTAAAAATAATAATAATACTGTGAGATATTATTACAATTTAAAATAATTGTTTTCTGTTGTAATATATATTAGACATAAAATAATATGCTATTTATTCCTGCGAAGCAAAGCTGAATTATCAGCAGCCATTAATGATGCCTTCAGTATCACATGATCATTTAGAAATATTTCTAATAAATCATTCAGTAACATATAATATCATATAATATAATATAATATAATATCATATATTACTTGTGTGTGTTGTTTTATTTTATTTTTGAATATATTTGGTTTCAGATTTCATAATATAGAATAATAGAATTTAAATTTCTCAGGGCCATCTAGAATTACCATAGTTCTTAGAGTTATGAAATCGTATGTTGTATTATATTGAGTTGTCAATAAAATAATTCTAAAAGTTGTGCTAATATTAAATTTAATAATTTTTATATATATGTAGACTAATGGAATTAAAAATTATAGCATTAGGGCCATGTAATATTACCAAATATTATATTCTATTTTTTATTTTATTTTATACATTTCAGTATAATATATTGTCAGATTAGATAACTCTTAAAATTGTTTTAATACTAAATTTTATTCTCTCTACAGGGTATATATAATATGTAGAATAATTATATAATAATTAATAAGCATTACAATTTCTCAGGGCTATCTAGTATTACTGTAATTTTTAGAGTTGTGGAATTATGTGTTGTGTTATGTGTTGTGTTGTGTGTTGTGTGTTGTGTTGTGTTATGTTATATGTTATGTTATTTTGGAAATTACAATACTTTTTCAGTCCTGCCATCTATAGATCCTGTTGCTCTACATATCAATGAAAAAAAAACACACTCTGACATTAAATTCACACATTGCCTTCGAATGCCCTTTAGAAAGGATAGCTTCTGTAGTCTAATCTGAGACACATGATGAGTTTTTAATATCTGCGAGTGAATAGTTTTGCTTCAGCTATAAATAACAATGCTGATAGTACACAAAGGATTAAATGACCCTTTCCGTTTCTGATCAGTGCTTTTGTGCTGGCTAGTAGCTTTATTTTAGACAGCTCTAGAAATCTTCATCTACGTGACGTGACGTGATGTGACATGTGGCCAAGTATGGTGACCCATACTTGGAATTAGTGCTCTGCATTTAACCCATCCTAAGTGCACACACACAGCAGTGAACACACACACACCGTGAACACACACCCGGAGCAGTGGGCAGCCATTTATGCTGCGGCGCCCGGGGAGCAGTTGGGGGTTCGGTGCCTTGCTCAAGGGCACCTCAGTCGTGGTATTGAAGGTGGAAGAGAGCGCTGTACATTCACTCCCCCCACCTACAATCCCTGCCGGTACGAGACTCGAACCCGCAACCTTTGGGTTACGAGTCCGACTCTCTAACCATTAGGCCACGACTTCCCCAGTCATGAGGGAAAAAAACAAAACAAACAGTGTGGCATAATAAACTTTTCTTGACATGATTACAAATCACTTCAGCAAAAAATACAAATTCTGTCATTATTCACTCATTCTCATGTCATTCCAAACCAGTATCACTTTTTTTTTCTTCCATAGAAAAGAAATGTTAAGTTATTTAGCAGAGTGTCCAGGCTGCTTATTTCCATACATTAAAACATACATTCTTCATAATTTTCAGAAGTTTACCTCTCTTAATTCAGACCTTTTTTTTCTCAGAATCACGTTATATCGCAAATGCAAGTTTTATCTCAAAAAGTCTATTTCAAAATTGGGATTTTATTTATTTATTTATTTTTAATCAGAATCCTGAGTTTACAATTTCTCAATTGTGACTTTTTTTTTCTCTCCTGTTGCAGGTTTATATCTCACATTGTGTAGCATAATGCATTGTTCTGGACATGGTTACAAATCACTTAAGTAACTAAAAAAAACAAACACAAAACATCTGTCATTATTTATATGTATAAACCCATGTCACAGATTTTCTTCTGTGAAACAGAAATACATTTATTTAACTGAATGTCTAGGCTTCTTATTTCCATGTATTAAAACATACATTGACCACAGCTCCAAAAAGCATCTTAAAAGAATATTATGATATTTTTATGGTGCTTTTTGTCATTTTACTATGGCCCTAGTCCCCATTCACTTTCATTATATGGAAAAGAGCAGCCTAGACATTCTGCTAAACATCTCATTTTGTGTTTTCTGGAAAGTCATATAGGTTTGAAAAACAACAACAACATTTGAGTGAGTAAATGGTGACATAATTTTCATTTATCAGTGAGTTGTTGCTTTGAACACTGGCACAAACACAAGTTCCCACGTAATCTTTCCTGGCCTCTCTGTCTATAGTTGTAATCTAGGGCATATTGGTAAAAACAGAAAGCGTTTGATCTATTATTCATGTTTCTCTTTCAAGTTTGGATGTATACTGTATGCCTGTAAAGCAAGTACCAAGCTAAACATATAAGTAAACACATTTTTTTTCCCAGAATCGCTGCACGTTTATTGCCACACTTGGTGCTTAAATCAAATTGGTTATAAAATTGATAACCATGCAGTTTTCTCTTTAAAAAAACAACAACTCATAAACCATTCAGAAGCTGCTTGTTGCCACAAATAGTTTTTCTAGAAACCCGATGCAATAAACTCAAAAGTCATATTTTTTCAGTATAAAATCTCTTTCACCTCCAGCGGTCAGACTGAACTTAAACGTCCTCTTTGCTTGTACAGAGTGACCTTTCTGCATGAGGTTGGCCCTTTATCCCTGCTCTCTGGCAGCTGTAAACACATTTTCTCTTACCTGCATTACCCAGTGCCCTTTGCTTGTGCCCACGTCCCGACCCTCTCTCTGTGCCCTTGCCGTTACATCCCTCATTTGTCTCTCTTCCCAGGTGGTTGTTCACACCAGAGCAGGTGAGCGGCTGTTCCGAATCTCACCTTGGGCAAAGTATGTGACCAGGCATGAGAAGTCCGTCATCTATGATTGGGTACATTGGGACCCTCCTCAACCTTACATTGTAAGTGATTATTTCCCTCCAGCACTGGTGTGCCACAACCTTTTATTTTTTAGTGAACTATAATGGGTCCTCAACTTTCAACCCTTGTATTTAAGTAGAACTGTGTCATGTAATGCATTTTTAATTTGGATGACCAAGTATGTGAGAATAATATGGAAGTTTATTATAAAATATAAAAAAGGTAATTGTGACCTTTTATCTCACAATTTTTTTTTCTTCAAAGAAAGAATGGCAAGTTCAAGTCCCGTGGTTATAACTTTTGTATTTAATCAGAATTCCGAGTTTATATCTCACAATTCTGACTTTTTTTTCCTCAGAATTCTGTTTACATCACACAATTCTATTTTTTTTTTATTCTGAGTTTACATCACAGAATTATAACTTTTTTTATTTGAATTGTAACTTTACATCTCACAAATCTTGCATTTTTCTTGTAATTCTGAGTTTACATCTCAAAATTCTAACTTTATTTTTTTTTGCAGAATTTTAAGTTTACATCTTTTTTCTTGGTGTTCTGAGTTTAAATCTTGCAATTTGGATTTTTTCTTGGTATTCTAAATTTACATCCCATAATTCCGTTCTTCTTCTCTCTTGGTATTCTGAGTTTACGGCATGCAATTCTGACTTTTTTTCTTGGAATTCTGAGTTTGCATCCTGGAAATCGAATGTTTTTTTTTTTTAGCAGAATTCTAACATTTTGCAATTCAGGTGTTTTTTTTCTCAGAATTCTGAGTTTGCCTCAAACAATTCTAACCGTTTCTAAGTTTACATCTTGCAATTCTGACATTTTAAACTGAGTTTCAGCATGCAACTTTTTTTTTTTTTTTCTGAATTTTTAGACACCTGACCACATGCACATGCAGCATTCTGCATAATGGAAAATTGCGAAGAAAAAGTGAGATAATTGTGAGATAAAAAGTCAATAACCTTTTTATTTTTTTAATATATTTTTATCCCATGGCGGAAATCCGCTTTCATAAAACAGTACTCTAGTTAGGGCATGTGTGGGTACTGTATATTCCTTATTAATTGAAGTTTCCAAGGAAAGCAAACGGTTTCTGAAAACAGGAGGATGAAACGGCTTTATGAATACAACATGAGCCATTTCATTGCTTTCTACTTAGAGTAATTTTACTTTAATGTCAAGTCAAGACTGTGAACATAATCTCCTCAGACTATGAATTATATATGCCCGTTAATGTCCTCCAGTCTTGAGTCATGATTTGGTGAGATTCCCCAAATTAGCTACTGTCAGCTCTGTTCAGCGGCTTCATCTTATCTTCAGTTGTATTGGCATGCACTGTGATGTTCAATTTGGATGAAGAATTATTCCAGAGATATTTCCCTGCTGTTTCTGTGCCAGCACAAGCACCCTCGTCCACAGAAGCCCAGGAGCCTGCGGATATACGAGTCCCATGTTGGCATTGCATCTCCGGAGGGCAAAGTGGCATCCTACAGCAACTTTACACACAACGTGCTGCCTAGAATCAAAGATCTTGGTAAGAGACTGCGTCGTTAACACAAAACTGTTGAGATAATGAGCGTTTATGCCTAATAGACTTTGGTTCAAAGTGATTTTATCAGTAGGTTTTTTTCTTATTATTTTATTGTTTTGTGTTTTGTTTTGTGATGTGTTTTGTTTTTGCTTTGTTTTGTTTGCATTGGTTCTTAATGTTTGTTTTGTTTTGATTTGTTGCCTTAGATTAATTAGTGCATCAGTTACATTTCATTGAATCAAATTACTTTATCCACACATGGGGTGTGGGTTTTATTAAGCACAGCCTTATTTATTTTATTTTATTTTATTTTTCTTTGTGTTATGTTTGTTTTTGTTTTGTTTGCATTGGTTTTATTTTTTTGTATTGCCTCACAATAATTATTGTCTTTGTCAGGAACATTTTATTCAAACTAATTACTTCATTTTTTTTTTTTTTACTTTTTTTGGACCCACTTTATATTAAGTGGCCTTAACAACTATGTACTTACATTTAAATTAATAATTTGGTACAATGCACTTATTGTGCACATACATGTTTTTACATTGTACTTATATTTTAAAAATACCTGTATGTAATTACATCTGTAATTAATTTCTGTAATTACATTTATAATTACACTGTTGACCCATCCCTTACACCTTAACCCACCCTTAAACCTACCCATACCACCAAACCTGTCCATAACCTTTCCTGTTTCCCACCTCAGTAGCAGCAAAAGTGTTTTGCAATACAATATGAACACAATAAGTACACTGTACTTAATTTTTGATGCAAGTACATAGTAGTTAAGGCCACTTAATATAAAATGGGACCAAAACTTTTTTGTCTAACTGGTTCCATAAAGAACCATTTCACAAAATGTTCTTTGTGGCGAAAGAAGGTTCTTCAGATTATAAAAAGGTAAGAAAGAGAT